CGCTCAGAGGCAGTGCCCAGAGGGGTTGGGGCAGGGAAGCCGGGACACTTCTTCTGAGGGGGCACCTGATGTTCCATCCTGCTCGCTTTTTAGAGCTGCACCATTCCTTTGGGGCACAGTGGTAGGGCTTGTGTGTTATATTAGGCATGATTTGATGTGCTCCTAATTATTCTGTTGTGTAGCCTGTGTGGTTAGTGAATGGAGCTGCGGGCAGTGTTATCTGAGGAGACAACCCTGTGACGTATTAGCTGGATTTTGACATGAAAGGTGAAGAAGAAGAAGAACCTTCCTTCCTCTATTTTCATCTTCTTTCAAAAAATATTTCCCTAACTGATGCAGCACAATTCTCATACATTAGGGATGTCTTTCCTAATATACCATTCTAAGTTGGTGCATTGATGTTTGTTATACCTCTTACCTTTTTTTTCAGAATAGGAAAGTCACCATGGCTCACTGAATGACAACAGCAGGAAAATCAGGGGAGGGGGTTATGTTAACAGGGGGTCTGCCCCCCCCCAGGTAGCTTAGCCTGAGTAGAGACCTGACTGAGGAAAAAGGCTGGAAAGGGGGGGCTTATCTTTCTTCTGTTTCCCCAACCTTGTTTTCCTTTGCACCAGTATGCTGTCCTCTGTTGTTGCTGCTGCTGTTGCCTTCTTACTTGTGACTAAACCAGGTAAACATACACACAAGTAAACAGGACAAACCTTACTTGTAAGTTACACCAGGGGAACCTTACACATGAGCAAAATTGTGATCCAAAGGCCTGCGTGGACCTTCCCATGGGAGTATAAACACTCAAGTATTAGATAAGATCAAGTATGAATATTAGAACTTTTTAAGCTTTAACCAGACTACTCCAAAGTCCCAATGGAGCTTAAGTATGTGTAGGATTATAGTCTTAACCACCCTTTGTTCTTGTTCTTCCATCACAAAATGTAACTTTGTACATTTGTTCTGCAGCTTGTAACGTTGTTTTATGCCTAACTTTTGAGCCATCTTATCTGGACAGAGAAGGCAAGAGGAGAAGGGGACGACAGAGGACGAGATGGTTGGACAGTGTCATCGATGCTACCAACAGGAATTTGACCAAACTCTGGGAGGGAGTGGAAGACAGGAGGGCCTGGCGTGCTCTTGTCCATGGGGTCATGAAGAGTCAGATATGACTGTGGCATCCACCCTCATGCCCCTTTGCTTGACCTTCACAAGAGCACACAAAGGCAATCACACCTCACTCTTTACACTTGCTGCCACCAGGTGATCTCTAAATCACCATTTACTTCAGAAAGATCCAGGTTCACACTTCAAGTTCTTTTAAATAAAACTTTGGTTTATTGATTACAGAGATTCATAAAAATATTCAGTAGCTAATCACCTTAAATTTCCCAAACTACACACTCAATTACTTTGTCTGGCTTTTCTCTCCCATCTGACTCTCACTGATTTAAACTCACTTAATCTCACACTCTGACTTAATCTCCACACACTGACTCCATTTTACTTAATCTGACTTAAACTCTTAATCTTCACACACTCTGACTGAAATATTGACTCAGACTCTGCCTCTTATAGCATCTCTTCCAGCTCCGCCTTTCAGCCACAAGAATATTCATAAGCCATTACATAACAAACATGAACCATAGATCAAATAAATAGAGAACGCTACAATGACTTAATGACTAAACAACAACAATTTGGATAGGAGATTGAGTACATATAGAGCCTTATACAGACCCTCATTTCTTTGTCTTCTGTGAGGTTGCAGGTTGATGCCAAAGGCAGCACAGTCAAAATGGAAGGTTTCTTCCCTCTCAGTTCTGCAGTATCAGACCTGATGAAGAGTCTTACAAGTCTCTATTGTGCTTTTAATGATCCAATAAAGATATTGCCAACCCTCATCTTTAGAATAAATATCAGAAAGAAGGACGTGATTTCAAAAGTCCTGTTGAATGTTTCAAAAATGGCTTTTATGCCAAATTGCCTTGATTTCCAAGACTTCTAAAAGTCATTTTTATTAGTTCAGAAAGACAGTGGTAAAATATCAACTACAATCTCTGCTGTATAAATATGAACAAGTTCTTGATATATCAGATTTAGATATTACTGGGTTTTTTTGCAACAATTTCTATAGCCTTCAGAGATCAGATTCCCAGCAGGAGATGTAAATCATGACCTAGTTTCTCCTTGCTAGACAAACAAGACAACAAAAAACTGTTTCTCCTTGCCATGTAGTCTGCACAGTATGTATATCATATCATGAGGAAGGAATGCTCTATGTACATTCAGTCAGTGCTTATTAGGCAATAATGTCAAGTTAGCCTAATGTCCAGAGTAGCCGGGCCTATAGATTTACTGGAAGCAGGAACAAGTTTGTCATAGGGTGCATAAGACACCTGAGAGTGCAGTTACACCATTGAAATAATTGGGTGAGGGATTGGGGAAGTAATTCAATTTAAAGTAACATGGTAGTCTAGTGGTTTTTGGGTTGGTCTATGCATCATATTGGAAGAACATTTAATCCATTTTAAAATTGTGTTGCATATCAGTTGAAGAGGCTACACGGGCATTTAAAATGGTTGCATTTTAGGCTCTGTCCTGCTTCCTCCTGCCCTCACAGTGGCTTCCTCTCACAGCCACTAGCCACTGCTGCTGTTTTTGTTATATATATATTAATTTCTTGCAATAAGAAATAGTGCTAGAACAGAATGACAGATGGAAAAAAAATTCCATTGGAGAGCCTTGGGATCTAAAATGGGGGTGAGGGTGGGGTGGAAGAAGCTTTTAATTAGAATAAATTAAATGTTTCCAATATCCAATCTGGATTAAGCCAGTGCAAAGTTACGTAATAGGATTTTTGTCTACAAAAACTGGTGGTATAGGATATAGGTTGTGTGCTGGGACAAGAGGTCCCATGTTTAATCTATGGCTTCATCAAAGAAAAAGCATCCCATAATCCACACCATTCTACACACTATTCCTGCCTTATTACCTTTCTTGAAAATATTTTTCTACTTGCACTTTCAGGCAAACAAAATACATTGAAATTGCCATGTTTTTTCTCATTCATTTTGGTTCTGCATTTTGTAGTATAAAACAAACAGTGCAGAAGACATGTTTTGCCTAGAACTGAAATTTGTGATGATTTTAGTGTCAGAGAAGATGATGACTGTTTTGCAGAACTCAAATGTTTTTTTAAAAAAAACAGCAGTGAAAAAGTCCAGGTTCTGTTGTGTTTTGCTGAATCTACCTGCATGTATGTAGATGGTGTACAGAAATTCGTGCACATTTTTTTCACGTTGATCACACCATTTTTGGCCATCTTTTTTCAGTTGTGCCTGTTTCTAGTTGTCTGGTTTTTATAATGTGTGCATTGTCTTCTGCATGCTAGGTTTCTCATAGATATGAGAACTCTCAATACAGATGCATTTCTTCTCACCAAAAGTTTTGGGAAGGGCAAAAAAAAAAATACAAGAAATTCTTTGTCATAGAATAACAGAATCAAAGAAAAGTGAAGTTGGAAGGGACCTACAAGGCCATCAAGTCCATCCCTCTTCTCAATGCAGGAATATAATCAAAGCATATCTGCCAGGTGATTATCTAAGTTGTTCTTGAATGCCTCCAGTGTTGGAGCCCTCGCCAACTCCCGAGGTAATTAATTCCATTGTTGTACTGCTCTAACAGTTAGGATGTTTTTCCTGATCTTCAACCAAAATCTGGCTTCCTTTAACATGAGACCCTTGTTGCGTGTCCTGCACTCTGGGATGATTGAGAACAGATCTTGCCCCTCCTCTGTATGACAGCCTTTCAAATATTCTTTTCTCAAGGCTAAACATGCCAAATTATTTCAGCCTTTCCTCATAAGGCTTGGTTTCTAGCCCCCTCATCATCTTTGTCACCCTCTTCTGAACTTGTTCCAATTTGTTACCATTGTTCTTGAAGTGTGGTGTCCAAAACTGGACACAATCCTCAAGGTGAGACCTAACCAGTGCTGAATAGAGGGGGACTGGCCCCTTGTGGGATTTGGAAACGAAACTTCTATTAATGCAGCCTAAAATAGCATTTCCTTTTTTTGCAGCCACAATACACTGTTGGTTCATATTCAGCTTGTGATCTATCACTATTCCAAGATCCTCCTTGCTAGTAGGTATGCTGAGACAGGTATCTCCATCTTGTAATTGTGCAATTGGTTTCTTTTTCCGAGGTTCAGTACTTTGAATTTATCCCTGTTGAATTTCATTCTGTTGCTTTTGGCCCAGTGCTCCATCCTATCAAGGTTGTTTTGAATTTTGTTTCTGTCTTCTAGGGTATTAGCTATTCTGGCCAATTTGGTATAATCTACAAATTTGACAAGCATTCCCTGCACTCCATCATCCAAGTCATTAATAAAAATATTGAACAGCACCGGGCCCAGGACTGAGCTTTGGGGTACCACACTAGTTACCTCTTCCCAGTTAGAGAAGGACCCAATAAGCATCACCTTCTGAGTATGATTCTGTAGCTAATTGTGTATCCACCTGACATTTGATCTATCCAGCCCACACCTAGTTAGCTTGCTAATCAGGATATCATGGGGCACTTTGTCAAAAGCTTTGCTGAAGTCAAGATATACTACATTTCCAGCATTCCCTCTGTCTATCATGGAGGTGACCTGATCAAAGAATGAGATCGAATTAGTTTGGCAGGATTTGTTCTTGACAAAGCCATGTTGGCCTCTAGTTATTACTACATTGTTTTCTAGGTGCTTGCACAATGACTGCTTTCAGATCTGTTCCAGAATTTGGCCTGTAGTTGCCAGGTTCCTGTTTGTTTGCCCTTTTTGAAGATACTTTTTAAAAATCCTTTTCTAAAGTGAAAAAAGGGGGGGAAATGTAGGCACAACTTGCAATATTTATCTTGGTCTTTTTCCAAATGACATTTGATGTGTCAGATGCTAGAAATTTGGAGCATTTAAATGCTTACTTTTGATTGTTTTTAAGATAAGAGAAGTTCCTTAAAGATTAATCTTGAAATGCATCTGTATTTATTAAATAACACCTTTTGGACATTTACAGGTGGCTGGACAACTTTCTTCAGCATATGGGTTCTTACAAGAGAATCTTTCTACAATAAGGTTGCATTCGGCATATGAATCAGTGTGCTCGCATGACCTGTCTGAAAGAAAGGAAACCAAGATGAAATTAGATGCAGGAGGGAGAAACTAACCGGGTTCATCATTCTTTCCTCTGGTTCATGTAGTGCAGGGGTCTGCAGACTTTTCAGCATGAGGGCCACATCATATATGTTCCACATTTCCGAGGGCCAAAGGAACACTCACGTGCTCACGCATGCATGAGTGGGCTGAAGGGAATGGACCTGACCCTGCCTCAGTCTGCGATGTCTGCCAGGCCAGATAAAAAGGCAAGGTGGTCTGGATGTGGCCCACGGGCCATAGTTTGGAGACCACTGATGTAGTGCAACACTTCAATGTTGTTAAGTAAAGCTGATTGACCCTCCAGATCTGAAAAACTTGCTGGCCTTATTCTGAGGGAATCTACCCTGGTACTCAGTATCTTGCCATTATCATTCATACATTGACAATTCTTTAGGTTTAGTGCTGAAACACACTTCATTTGTACCTGTCGTTGAAAATATGCAGAAGCTGGAACTGGTATAGAGATCTGTGGTTTACTAGTAACAAAAATAGCACATCATAAGACTTGCTCTGTTACACCAGTTATGAAAGTGCTAATGATTATTACAGAGGCTTAGAGGGCATGGGTCTACCCTTCTTTAATAGAGAATGCTACCTACCACAATGATACCTCTGGTTATGCAGATTAGGAGTGCTATTAGTATTCAAATAGAGACCTTTACAGAAACAAGCACTTGTGCTCAAATCTTCATAAACTATGTCAAGTTGGCAGCATGAAAAAGTAATTGCTTCAGGGCTGTAAGTGGGGTAGAGCAAATGAGGTTTTCCCCAGGGCACCAAAATTTCAAGGGTAATGAAAGCTTAAGATGATAATACTTTTGAGTGTTAGGAAGGTAAACCCTGGCACTTTCTGCCCTCTTCACCTTGTCCTGTTCACCTCATTGCTAACATGAACCACCACATCTTCCTCCTTCTTCTCCTCCTCCTCCATTTCCATGTGAGACACGTGGTGATCCCTCACAGGCAGAATGAGGTGCCAAAATGGATACTTATGACTCTTCACTGCTTGTTTTGAAACTGAGAGTACTGCTGTTTTCCTCTTGTCTGGCCCCCAAAGGCCTAATATCCCCAAGGACCTTTGGGAATGAAAAAGTGAGGTGGGGGGAAGGATGAAGCTCTCAGCACCCACACAGAGGATCTTCCCAGGGTTGTACCTATCCACTTTGATATCTCGGGCAAACAACACAAAATTTGTTCCCAAATCAACTTTTAATTCATGACATGTAAATAATATAAGAAGTAATAACATCACTCATCACCTTGCCAGATCCTCCCTCCTCCACAGGGGATCAGCACTACTATTAGAACTATAAAAACGAATTAAATGTTATCAATGTGTATAATAATTGGTGGATGTCCCTTTTTTGTGGCAGCACCTATGTGTTGAAATTTGCTCCACAGGGATACTCACAGGGCCAATTCATGATGCAATTATTAAGAGCTATAGTCAATACAGAGTGAATAGAAGCTGATCTAGATAGATGATTTATAAATCACTTCAAGCAGGATTCTTATGTGATTCACTTATCAACTGCACATGAGTGCTACTGTTTTTATGTTTTATATCATTGGTAGCTTACTACAGAGTTTATCCTCGCAGGTATCAGGGCAGTCTCCACATGGTGGGCCTTCTTTGTAGGGTTTTTCCAATTGTCCTACTATATTTCCTCTGAAACGACACAGCAGACAATATGTTTCTCAGCACAGCAGAACACATAAGAGGGAGGTAATATTCTTTACATTTATACCTTTCAAAGCTGCAGATAACTTCCCTGAATGTGGTGTAGAATTCTGGACTGTACCACTGAAGCTCAGGAAGTGGGGCAACAGTACATAAAACTTGAACAAATTAGAGAGAAAGGGTCCCTAGCTATGATATGCTGGTTTTCTCCTGCAGAAAATGTGGAAAATTGTTTAAAATTCAATAGGACTAGCCTCAACAGCAGGAACATTTAAAGATTGGGGCAATGCAAAGCTCATTTGTACTGATCACTTGATTTTCTCCAGTTCCCACCCTTTTTAAAGGAATGTGGAATACTGTGGTTCAGAGGAGAAGTTTGCAGGCCGGGAGATGCAAAGGATGCTGTTAGATGGAGAGGTTGTTTCATATTTTTTCGCATCTAGATGGTTAAGAATTAGGTCTGAAGCATATTTAGAGTGAAAACAAGAGAATAACTGCTGTAAAAAAATTGAGGCTAAAGAGTACCCAGAAAGATTAAAGACAGATGAATAGAATTCTTTGCATACAATAGTGGAACTGCTAATGACATAGATAAAATCCAATTCTGAACAATGTCATGGAGATAAAATTAGTTCTGTGGAATATGAAAGTGTTAAGCACCAAGATGTAAAGGCAGGGAAGGCTAATGGCATATTCAGGTATGGGAAATACAGATCTGAATTTATAGAACTGCATTTGATTTTTAAAAACTACTGACATACGAACAGAATATTAAGAGTGACTACACAGAGGCAATCTGAGACCAGAGAGGGAGGATCCAGATATTTCCATTACTCAGACAGACTCTAGCAGTGGAAATGTTTTCTTTTCTTTCTCTGTTTTTGCATATTGGCTCCTGGACAGGTCAAATTAAGAACATTTCATTTAGGAGGGATACTTACGGAGGGCAGTATCGGCACACATGATAGAATTTATTTGCACTCTTTGGGCAGATAGACGTTGCACATCCGACCTGGTTTGAGTTGTGCCAAATCATCTGTGAACAGACAAGGACGTGTGTCAAACAAGCAAGGGGCATCTTAAAAAGAAAAGGCAATCTGTAGTGTGGATTGAAATTCTTGCGATTATGCAACAATAGATTCGTAATGTTACCAAAAAGATAAAACAATGTATTCCTTTCAGAAAGGCAGATCTTCTGCCACACTCTTCCCTGTTTCTTACAGTATGCAGTGGTAGTCAAGCTGGTCAGCTGAAAGGCTGCTCAAGAAATAGGGATACAGCCTGTGCTGTAGACTCCCTCTGAAAACCCAGAACTGTGGTTTGGGGGTGCTCCTGGATTCATTTGTGAGCCTGGATGCCCAGATTTTGATGGTGGCTAGGGCTGTCTTTGCCCAATTAAAACTTGTGCACCAGATGCACCTGTTTCTAGAAATGTCTTATCTGGCCACGGTAACACATGCCTTCGTTAAATCCCAGCTGAATTATTGCAACATGCTCAACCTGGGTCTGCCTTTGGAAAGCTTCTGGAAACTTCAGTAGGTGTGAAACACTGCAGCCAGACTGTTCACTGGGACTGGTTACAGGGATCACATTCCACACCCCACTCATTACAGCAGCTCTGCTGGCTACCAAACCATTTCTGGGCACAATTCAAAGTGCTGGTCTTAATTTATAAAGCCCTAAACGGCTTGGGTCCAATCTGTCTAAAAGACTGCAGCTAGGAGCCTGCCTGGCCAACACGATTTATATTATTTTATT